TTTTTCTATTTGATTGACATATTGTTATACTGTGATTGTCTTAGGAAAATATACTGGTAAGCCTCTCTTAATATTATTTTATTATTGTCGCTGCCCTCCTCTCCTACCAGCGCCGTTTTTACTAGCAATATACGCTGTTCAGTGAACCCCAATGCAATTCCCTCTAGAAACCGTCGTTATTAATTCGTCGTTAGTAATCGACTGATTGTGTCGTTGAATACGTCACAATCAGTCGATTGTGATTGTCAGAATTGACTTTTTTTAATGCTCACCTATCATCCCTTACTGGTGCCCCGCCACCTGGAATGATAACTCTCTATTAGCTGGCAAGTTGTTTGCTCTATGACACAAGTGCATTGTATTATATTTTCACTCATATTTCATTTAAACCAAATTTCATTAAAAAGCCTTTTGCAGGTATAAACCTGCAGAAGTCCGAAACGAAATTTAAACTTATTTAAGCCGTTTTATAGATATTAAATATTAAGGCAAGAGTTATTCTTTTCCCTCATAGAATGCCATAAGGAATGAATTTAAGCTTTCTGTACTCACTGATTCTCTGTAAGGTTTTTAAGATCGTTGCTCCATCTAGTAGAGGGTCGCTCTATACTGTGTGTGTGTCTTCTCTATCGGTTATCGGTTCTTCGATTTATGTGACACTTCAGCTTACTTATCCCTTGGGTTAAGTATATTACTTTGAAAACTTTACAGGAGTTATATAAATATCAATAATTAGGTACTTAATTCTTTTTCTATTTCTTTTTAACTGTTATTTTTTTGTTTCCCCAATTCACAATTTTTGTCAGATATTCAAAGGTTAACTGGAAGAAATCCCATTTTTTGGGATAAGTCCGCCATTGTACACATTATTTTCTTACCAACTGATTAATTCTTATTGAATGCCAAATTCGCTAACTGAACTGCATTCATCTTCATCTATCATCTCTCACTGGTGCCCCGCCAGCATATATCAACAAATATACAATATATATACAAATTAAATACACAGGCGGGGTTACCATTCCATCTTCATCCATTACAAAAAAAATAGCCGCTAATACATATAAATAGCACCAAAGACAACACTGAATACACTGTGACGTCGTAACTATTATTTAGTTGTTTTTAGCGACTAAAACAAGAGTGGGGCTCTCTAATTTCTAGGTAGCTATTAGTTGGAAATCAGCAAGTGAAGTATCCACTATCTAAACTAATACCTTTTCAAATATACGATACTGATTATTGAGAATTTAATGAACTTATTGTATTTTTGTATCGTTTTCGATAATTAAAAAAGGGTTTTTTCTATAGACATCCTTTTATTATACAAACTCATCCTTTTATTACTCAAACTTGGCACCGTTTCTAAAAAAACAAGTTACAAATTTGAATTTCGAAACAAGTATTTTACGTTTTGTATCTAGACATAATACGAGGGATCTTTTTTCGTTGTCATGTTTATATATTATTACTAGCTGACTCGGCAAACGTTGTTTTACCATATACATTATTTGTAGAACTATACATGAAAATTTATCCTACTACAATTATTATATTGGATTGCCATCTTGCAACCCTAAAATTTGTCAAAAAATAAAAAAAAAATATTTTGGGGAGGGTCACCCTTATCCTCAATGATATGAATGGTATAAAAAATAGATGTTGGCCGATTCTCAGATCTATCCAATATGCACATAAAATTTCATAAAAATCGGTAAAGCCGTTTCGGAGGAGTTTGGTAACAAACACCGTGACACGAGAATTTTATATATAAGATTTATTTTACGAAATTGAAAGTAAACCGAACCAAAGCTAACAAAATTGGGCATTTTATTCAAAGAAATATACGTCGAAAAACGACAAAAAAATTTGAGCCTCTTACACTAGTACAGCGTTATATGAATATAGCACGTAAATATTTGCCATTAATATTTTTTTTATTAACGAAATGTATTTCCTGATATATTCTACAACATAAGTAGATTCTTAATTTAATATACCACTAAATAATTTAATTTCACCCTATATGATCATATGGGCTATTACCTGTCCACTGCTGAACATAGGCATTTACCATGGGCAACATTTGTCATGGGCGGCGGTAGTCACTTACCATCATGTGAGCCGCATCCGCATGCTCATTTGCCCCCTGTGTTGTAACAAAAAATTGGTCTTTCATAAATAAGCCATAAGGGAGATTTTGCCAGTAGTTGGCATGCTTGTCAAGAGGGTTGGCAAACGCAGTGGGGCTTTTGGTGATGTTTAAAGAGGGACGCTGCTATCATCCCTCGATCATTAAGTTTCCTTAGTCGCCTCTCACGATACCCACGAAAATATATATATATATATATATATATATATATATATATATATATATATATATATGAAATATAGAAATTTTAATAATACAATAAATGCGAAAGTTTGTAATAATACTTAGATGTATGTTTGTTACTCTTTCACGCAAAAACTTCTGAACGAATTAGCACATAACGCACTAATTAACATGGGCGGAACTACGGGATACAGCTAGTTTTAAATATATAACAGCATTTAATGCTCTGGTAGCGCCTAATATTTCTCTCATCAAAAATATTTCAATACATCTTATTTGCTATAAATTTTATGTCCGATTAAAGAACTAATTAATAATCGCTTTCCAGAAATTTACAACTTTTATGTGTAGGTGGGTAGCCAGATTGCAAGAATATAATTTCACTTGTATTTTAGAATGCAAAGTTTAACAAAACTTTATTTCAAGCTATTCTTATCCGTGGGAAATTCCAGTAACACATTTTCAATGTAAATGTTTTTTAATTCATCTTTCTTTCCACTAAATGGGCCATTAGCTTATTTTTTAGTCCGTGTTACATAAAAAACAATGACATATAGCCTACTATTATTATTTCTTTGAATTTTCTTTCAATTAATGTTTAAGCAAAAAAGAAAAAAAATTTAAAATTATACTATGTAATAAGTATTTAAAAATTAAGTATATGTAAGTTCAATGATTAATATTTGCATGTTATTTTATGTGGGGAAAGTTGATAAATGCAACATCTTATTTACAATGGTTCTGGCAAATAAATTTAATTTTATTTCATGTCAGTTCCTCGCATTTCATCCCATTTTATTCTATTTCATTTCACTGATTTACCCGAGAAAACCAATAGGATAGGATAGGATGCAGGATACAGCTTGTACTTACATATATATTATACACAAGTGAAATATAACCCCCTTCTAAACAATAATGTAAGCGAAAAGGCAAGTGTCAGTTTCTCTCATTTACTCACATAGATATTTACATTTCACACAAAATCTAATTAGTAAACAAGACCATATTATCATCAGTCAAATGATAATTTTGGCCTTCGAGGTTGGGTTAAGTCCCGGGGTACTGATAACACGTACGCATCAGTACGTGATAACATTATTTCACGCTAACAATTCAGACTGTGCAATTTTGACTCATGTGTGTACATATAATACAGTTTAAATTAGAATAATTTTTCGCTGCACCAGAAATGTGGGCGTAAGCTCTAGAGCAATTAAAAATTACAGCACAGAAAAATGAACTTAATGGTTTGTGTTTTTAAATCTAGCTGTGTAATGTGATAATCTTTTCAGCCGATTTAAAAAGGGATGTGCTTCTCGATTCCACTTTTCGTAGGTGTTACGTGATAATTCTCTGCCCAATTCTGAACTTATTTTTTTTTTCATCTAAAATCCTCATAATTCTGTCAAGATGGAAGTAATTTATTTCGGTGTACATTGAAATTGGAAATTTAAAAATTCTTTTCTTCATAGAAATTTTCAATTATATTTTTTTTTAATCTCGAAGTTTTTTCGTTTATGAAAACTAAATATTTTTGATTTACACTGGCGGAGTAACTAACTAGCTACTACACTATTTTAACTATAGTACTAATGAGGGATGATAGGTTAGAATAAAATGAGATTTGCTGATCCGTGCATAGCAACAAATTCCCCAAAAATTAACCAACACAGTGTTTAGAGGAAGTCCACATGAAGTTGGATCTAACCTATATATTATATTACTAACAATTGAACCACTAAATTCCATCCCAAATAATCTCTTTTCCTTAGTAGATGTTATTTAACCGCTTTTCTTTTGGAGAGAATAAGGGATTACTAATACGATAGCGCCGCCATTGCTAACAATATAAAGTCGACTTTCACAAAAATCTCATTGTAAACCATCGTGATTACTGTTGAATTTATTACGATGGCTCAACAGACCTATTTTCATTCTCACCTATCGCCACTCACTAGTGCTCCGCTAGCGTTAACTGGTAACGCAGGCGAGGTTACCATTTTATTATCATCTATAAAAAAAATATTTATTCAATTTTAGTTTGTTTAATAAAATAAAAAAATATAATTAAATATTCTCATAAATATTGTGATAATCACTAATGAGATAATAGGAAATAATCGACTATTATCATGGTGGTCAGTAATCGAAGATTAACATTACGTGGATCATAATTCTTGACATGTTCACATGTTTTCACTGTAATTTTTAACAAACTCTCGGCTTTTGACGTGTAAATAGTAATACACTCCTGAAACGTGACGCTCTCAGAAAACAATTTTCGAGTGAGAATTCCAAAAACATTTTCTTGAAAAGAAACCGGCAGAAACAAAAACAAATTTAGAAGGAAAAAAAAACAGTTTTTACAACACAGTTAAGAAAAAAAACACCCATTTTTCTTAGAAAAACACACTTTTTCCTTAAGAAATTATACTGCCTAAGGAAAACAATTTTATCTTAATTAGGTTTTTGAAATGTTCTCTTTTCAGAGTTCCGCACCAAATGGTACACCATTGATACTCTTATTATCCGTCCATTCGTCCATTTGTCTCAGTATATATATATATATATATATATATATATATATATATATATATATATATATATAATGTTTCTCTGAAATTATTAATGCTAACTCATTTGCTCTTTTTGTCGATTTTAGGTAACAACATGTTGCTAAGGACGATATTTAAAAGTAAAGCAACTTCTACGTTTGACAAGCGATCCAGAACAAAAAAAAATCAATGAGATATCAAAAACTGTTTGCCGTATGGTCACCCCTTCTTTAGATGCCTTCCTTGTTGTAATAGACGACTACGTGAACTTAATGGTCGAGAAATGGACAGCAACATTCCTTTTAAAACATCACCAAAACTTAACTGCGGTTAAATTTTGGTGATGTTTTTAAATACACATAATGTTAATAGAGATTTAAAAGAGTGACTTGAGTTCTTTTTTGCGAGTTCTTCTCAACAAATAAAAAGTTTCTAAACCCTGCATTCATAAAAAAAAAATACAATTTAAAAATGCTTGTAAACAAGTCTATTTGAATAAAGATATTTTGTATTTCTTATTGAGTATTTATTTTGTACGTTTATTTATTTTATTTTAATAATAATAATTTATATAACAGTGATAATATAAAATCCAGTCAATTAATACCAAATAAATCGTTTATTAACATGAAATTGAAATGAAAATATTTTTGGGTGAATTTTTTAAAAAAAAAACTGTATTATAGTGATTATTTAAATTATACTTGTATTTTGTTATTTGAATAGATTACCTTTATCAATACATTATATTTATTTTATACATGCAAAAATTATATATTTAAATATTTACTTATTATATTTTGATGTTTATAGTTTTTGCGAATTATTTTTTTCTCTATCTGTAATATAATATTTGCGTCATTTATTGTTATGGTATTTGCAAACAGCGTTATTTTATTACGTAGCTGTGTTTTTACGTCATTTAATTACACAGTTAAACCATAGATGATAGTAAGTAATTATTATTAAAACGTAATTTGTTCACGAACAATGTATGTAATTGATAAACCAGTGTTATTTACGTCAATAACTGCGTTAATTCTTAAGAATTGATGTGTAACTTTGTAGCATAACTAAATCGTAACAATGTTTGTGTATGATCCCTTGTATATATATATATATATATATATATATATATATATATATATATATATATATATATATATATATATATATATATGTATAATATGAGGGACTTAAAAAAACAAATGGATGCTAAAATAGCAATTACTAGAAAATTTTCTTGCCTCTCTGTTTGTTCCGGCATCACGCAGATACTATTGGATGCAATTCACACAATTGCATTTTTGATAGTCTAACTTAAAATCTGTCATATATGTACTTTATCTTAATACGCTATCTGGAAGTAGAAGATTTTCCACATCTAAAATCCACGCATACAATGTAGTGGGCACAAGCTAGTGTATAGGTAATAAAATTGTAACTAGATGACGCCTGAAATGTAATGTAAATTGGACTCTATTTTCCGGGCTAGGCCTCTCATTTGTGCTATTGGGCGTAGATAACGCCTTTGCATAGGAGATATTTAAGAATAATTAATAGAAGAAGATCAATGGAACCCGAAACAACAGTTTTTAGATATTTTATGTCTATCCATCTTTATTTATTCGGCTATCACGCAAAAGTTACTATGACAAATTGGAAGCAGTTTTCGGTATCCAATTTAAAATCTGATGTACATTTTGATACGATCCAAAAGAGATTGGTTTTAGATGTTTGGAAATATCCAAACATCTATTTCCTATTTCCACGCATACAAATTATAAAATATAATTTTTTTTTAATACAATTTTTCAAAATTATTTGATTAACTTTTACTTCTTTAACAAAAGGTTGTCTGTAAGAGATTTCCCTAGTGATAAGACCACCTTTTGTGTTTTTTTATGTATGTACATATATATTTTAATTTGTAATTTATGTTACTGTAGTTCACTTAAATTGTTTAATTTTCATTGTATATTTTATGTTTCTGGTGTAACAAAGAGTTAAATCAATATATAACTATCTTAACATAACATAATTTTCTGGGATATTTTTATATATATTTTTTTTATGATAATTGAATGGTAAGGTAACCCCGCCTGCGCTAACGGTATACACTGGCGGGTTACCAGTGAGGGATGATACGTAAGAATGAAAAGGCAGGCCAGTTAGCCCATCGTGATGAATATACTTGGAATTCAGCACGATGGTTTCCAGGGGGAACCACGGGGAAGTCGACCTGTTAAGGTATATTGTTAGCAATGGGAGTAGTAATCCGCATTACTAACATCCCTTTACAGACAGTCTGTATGTATGTAATACTGTCTACTTGAAATAAATAAATAATAAAAATAAATGCTGCGTAATTATTCATAATGATGCTTATTTTTACCGATTGATTGACTTTGATATATATATGAATATAAAATTAAAATATATCCTTTTGAAGTTATTTAAAATGAACGCCATTTTAATTAATATGTATATATTGATTTGTGAGTAACGTGTACGTATATTTATATTATATCAGATAAGTGGACCCCAATTAAAAAAAATATCTTTTTAATCTGTATTGCTGAAAAAATGATTCCGCGAAAAGCGAACCATGGTACTGCTCATGTCTATCGGCGACGGTTACCACTTTCCATCAGGTGGGTCGTCAGCTTGTTTGCCATTCTAAGTTGTATAAAAAAAATACAAAAAATTTCAAGAAACGAAGTCTCTAGTGACTTTATTATTCATAGTATTATTTTTACTTCTTTCGGGTTCTCAAGGTTGACTCAAAAAGTCCCTTTAAGAGATAAGTCCGCCTATATACATTTTTGTTATAGCCTAATATCTATATTATAAGTGAATGTACCAAAGCATACAAATAAATAATTTATATCTGCACTAAACATAAATATGATATAGAAAGTATTAGTCAAACAACCAGGCTTCATCCCACCCACCATGCCAAAGAGTAAATAAACTACATGCGTTATTAAAGAGCCAATACTGTCCTTATATTGATAAAATTGGAAAATAAATCGATACAACCGCCTACAAGTATCATATTTATAGTATTGTAGACTGTGCATTATATTGATATGGATAGGTATCATTAAAATATCTGACACTGCGTTTCACAACCACTCAATAGCTACTACTTACTCGTCATATTACCTATACAGTAAATTTTGTGACAAACGACATCTGTGACATATTTATCTTATCTCTCCTAGACATATTTGCAATTCTCAATTTTTGTTTTTTTTTATGCAACTTAGAATGGCAAACAAGCTGATGACCCATCTGATGAAAAGTAATAACCGTCGCCTATAGACACGAGCAATACCATAGACATATACAGTCTCACCCATGATACCTTCTGTGCGTTGCCATTCCTAAGGACTCAGGTGTTATTCCTCTGTACCCTGTAAATTCACTGCCATATCCCACCCTTCAAACTGGCTGTGTTTCAGCCATACAAACATAACTGTTTATCAGAAACACGAACGGAACAGAGGTGCCCAAGCAAACGACTTTTGTACAAAGTCGCCTTCAAGTAAAATGTATATTTTTAAATTAGCTTGACTATATAGGTGCATAATATATAGAAATTTAAACTGTTTTTAATAAAGCGGTGGATTGGAAAGTCAAATAATGGAGACACCTATAAAATATATTATTATAAAATATAGATTGCAAATTAGATTGGATTAAGCTGACAGACAGTATGGTATGAGACGGAATGGTAAACCAAAATACAATAGAATTCTACATCACAAAATAGGCATATAAAAAGGAAAGTTTTTAGCGGCCAATCATGAATACTGTTATTAAAGATGTTACTGTTAGGAGGGAAAGGGATTGTTAGTAATAGGGTTAAATAACCCCATTACTAGCAATATACCCTGTCAAGTCGACCTCCACGTGGTTCGCCCTGGAAACCATCGTGACTAATTCTAGTTGAATTTGTCAGGATGGACTGACTGACCTGTTTCTTCTTCATCTATCATCCCTCATTGGTGCCCCGCCGGTGTATACCGATAGCGCGAGTGGAGTTACTATTTCATTATCACCCATAAAAAAAAAAGAAGTTACTGTTTTCTATTTATTTCTTATTAAGTAGAGTATTGTTTCTCATAGACAATAGATGGCGTTAAAATTAAAATATATAACAATGTTGCATTAAATATGTTTGTGTAAGTATGTAAGCTAAAGTACAAATAAATACACGCAAAAGAAGTCGCAGGAAGAACTGGTCCTACGATAAGCTTTTTTAATGTTATTTATTTTTATGACAGCTTTAAAGAACTTTCAAATAAATCTAAGATAGATTTTGGCAGTTTATTGTAAAACTTTATACAATTCTCTAAGAAAGAATTACCTTACTTTTTCGATCGGCACAGTGACAACAGTAATTTTTTCCTTATTGCGGAAGTTCTTGTTAGTTTACGATTGTCTTTGTAATGGATTTAGAAATACATAAAAAGTTTTTTACTTTAATATGCATTCACAATCCACTAATCTAGAAATTTTACTTTATACAAGTTTACATTGTTTTTGTACATGTATTTAAAGGCAACTATGAGGATATTTGAATTCTTAACAAACATACTCCCTTGAACACATATTATTAAAAGAGTATATATTAAAATTTTGTTTCAAAATTTTTGTTTCAAAATTTTCACAATATTATATACCGCTCTACCCGCTGATATTGATGCTCCTTTTCACTTTGAGTTTGCTGGAAGACAAACTCTTTTATAGTTAAGATCGCCTTTGTACATTTGATTACCTCTGTCATATTTGTATGTATAAATAGTATACAATAAAGTATTAAATAAACAAAATAAAATATAGATGGGCCGTCAGCTTGTTTGCTATTCTAAGTTGCATTGAAAATATTATATATATATATATATATATATATATATATATATATATATATATATATATATATATATATATATATATATATATATATATATATATATATATATATATATATATATATATATATATTAGATTAATATTTTTATATGCAACTTAGAATAGCAAACAAGCTGACGGCCCACCTATATTTTATTTTGTTTATTTAATACTTTAATTTATTATAGATATTGCTATTAGAGAAGAGAGCGTTATAACCTATAACTCTCTTGCTATCTTGAAGAAATGTTATTAACAGAATATATATATATATATATTCTGTTAATAACATTTCTTCAAGATAGCAAGAGAGTTATAGGTTATAATGCTCTCTTCTCTAATAGCAATATCTATAATATGAATGTCTAATCCCTTCATTAGTAGAATACAGGTCAAAATACTGTGAAAATAACTACAATAAACAAATTTAATATTTAAAAATAAAACAATAATCATTCATCATCACCATTTCAGCCTGTATCTATACAATGCTTGTTATAAGACTTCCCCTATGCCTTCGCTTTTCGCACTGGCAGCCACACGTCACTAGTCCTTTTTATTTGGGAATTTATTCACATAAGTCACCACGCTGGGCAACTGGTTTAGTGACAGGAATTATTGAAAGAACTTTTATGTGAATTTTTATAGGAGTTTAGGGGAAGGGATAGGATGTCACTATGTGAGAGGGTGTAGTATACAATAGTGACAGCTGTAGTCTCCGGGGGCGTATACCCGTATTCATCGGCAAAATAAACCATCCGAAGAAAACCAGAGCAATAGTATTTAGATCAAATAATGTAAAAATCTATTTTATTTAATATTATTTCTTATTACTGTTATGATTAGAAGACATGAAAACATGAAGGTGATTAACATTTTTTGTTTTATACCTATGTTTATTTGATTCAGTTTCATTCCAAAAAACACCTCCCTAAAAGAAAAGAGGAAAATATTGTTAATAAATGAAGACTAGTGACCCCACTAATTGATCCCAGCAATATAACCTGCTTTTTTTAATGGGTAAAAATGGAATGGTAACCACGCCTGCGCTATCGGTATACACTGGCGGGGCACCGGTGAGACGTAATTGGTGAGGATGAAAGCAGGTCAGTTAGCCCATCGTGAAGAATTCCATGAAAAATAACCACGATGGTTTCCAGGGTGAACCGCGTGAAGGTCGACCTGATAGAGTACATTGCTAGTAATGGAGCAGTTAGATCCTATTACCAACAATCCCTTTCACCTATAGCGCAAACAGGCTTATAAGCCCATTTTCATACATACAGAAAAATTTAAAAGACTTTTCTTTCTTCTGCAGTCAGATAAAGGGCACGTCGTGCAAAGTAGGTACTAATAGATCTTTGGCGCCTTCTATCTTCATTACCTACTTTTGGTATTGTTTGTTTGTTCAATTTACATACATACAATACGGCATTTATAATCGTATCTATGACACATATTATGATGGCCTCTCGGAAAGAGGTTAATAAATAGTATTTAAACTGAAAGTGCGTTGAATTTATTATTTAATTTTATAATAGATGTGCGGAGTACAAAAAATATGTATTATTACTACATTATTCATACATAATGCCCTTGTCCTTACAAATATATTTTTTTTTTATACAACTTAGAATGGCAAACAAGCTGACAGCCCACTTGGTGGAAAGTGGTACAGTCGCCTATAGATATTAGCAGTACCATGGACATAACGGAGTATACTGTTTCGAATAAAATATGTGTGAATTTGTTTGCTACCTCTTTCCGTTTTAAAGGTTCAACTAATTGCCACGAAATTGGATTTACAATTTCTATTTACACCTTTCACGTGGATAAAGTTGTTAAATAAAAATAATAAATAAAGTAGCAATTATTATGTATCTACAGGAGACACAGATTGTTAATTTAAACATGTCTTAATATATGGTACATTTTCCAACTATACATATAATGTAATATACGAATCAAAGGCATTATCATTATCATCTTATCGGCCTTCAACTGTCCACTTCTAAAGCCTCAACCTTGGGGGGTTGCCAGTAGTTGCCACACTTGGCAGGCAGGTTAGCAAACGCAGTTAGGCTTTGAAGATATTTTAAGAAGTACGCTACAGCCCATCCGTCGCCCTCCCTTAGTCGTCTCTTACGACACTTACGGGAAAGGAAGGTGTGGTTTATTCTATGCCGGAACCATACGGCCAAGACAGAGAATGTTAAGTTTAAATATTATATATTGTATTGTATTGTAACATCTTTATTGTACAAAAACATGCTGAATACATTAAAGGATTTAATATACAATGGCGGACTTATCCCTATACTTATAGTATAAAGGGATCTCTTACAGTCAACCTTTGAGTAGCTGAAAGAAAACTGTAGAATGCATAAGGGTAGTAACCATACAATTAAAGATAAACTAAATAATACCCAGTAAAAAATTGAATATATAATACAATAAAAACAGCTCTATATACCTACATATGTAAATAATAAAATTACATAAATAATAATATAACATTAGATAATAATATTATTGTAAATATATAAAATATATTCAAATTAAATATAATTTATTTAATTTACTGACAAATTATTAAATAACAGTAAACAATAATAATATATTCTTAAACAAATAATAATTAGTGTTACTTTGAATGACATGTCCATACAACCTTTCATCCTTTATTTTACCCCTTTAGGGGGTGGAATTTCCAAAAATCTGTTCCTAATGGATGTTAACAAAATGAAATGCTTTACCTGCCAAAATTTCAAGTTTTTAACTCTTATGATTTGGGGCTGTGCATTAATTATAGTCAAGACAAACGTTTATATATATATATATGAAGTGAAGCAGTTGTGTTTGCATGGCTGTGTTTCGGTTTGAAGGGTGGGATATGCCGTGAGTATAGAGGAATAACACCTGAGTCCTCAGGAATGGCAACGCATGGCGGGTATCATGGGCGAAACAGTATACTCTGTTATGTCCATGGTACTGCTATGTCTATAGGCGACGGTTACCACTTTCCATCAGGTGGGCCGTCAGCTTGTTTGCCATTTTAAGTTGTATAATATATATATAGAATTATTATAATATTATTATTTATTATAATAATTCTCTATTACAATGAAATTAATTATAATACAATAAGATAATAATATAAATAATATAATTTTAAGACCTTGAACAAAGCTACAAAACAGTTTGCACCCAATGCGGCCATGTTTTTACAATTGCCTGTAACTCTCTTCCAGGACTTAGTGTAGAAAACACTTGCTGATGGCCTACCAGCTGATAATCTTCAGACAAATACATATTTGTCACGCCGCATGATATCAGACTGTGTGCTGCTTGCAGCGCCTCTGTGGTGGGCAATTTGTCTAAAACATCAAAGTATCAATCAAGTTTCAGTTTATTAATTTATATACTCGTATAGCAGTGTTTTTCAATCTTTTTTATGACGCGACCCCTTTATTATAAAAATATCTTGCGACCCCCTACCCTCCACGGTTTTAAATGTGTATGAATTTTATTACAGTACAATTATAAAATACGTACAGTTGTATTTATATTCACAATTAGGTATTGATTAAATAAAATAAATAATACATAATTAAGTATCAAAAACAGACATTTAATCTATCTCTATTATAGATACTTCATTATGTATTATTGATTGATTGATGTATTTACGGAACTGTTGATTTTTCACTGCTTCGTGACCTTCCGCGACCCCTTTGTAGAGGCTCGGAGACCCCCAAGGGGTCGCGACCCACACTTTGAAAAACACGGATCACCAATTTTACCAGAGGGAGACTTTGTACAAAAGTCGATTGCTTGGATACCTCTATCCCATTCGTGTTTCACTCGTGAAGCAGTTGTGTTTGCATGGCTGTGTTTCGGTTTGAAGGGTGGGATATGGCGTGAATTTACTGGGTACAGAGGAATAACATCTGAGTCCTGAGGAATGGCAACGCATGAGGGGTATCATAAGCGAAACAGTATAGTCTGTTATGTCTATGGTACTGCTCATGTCTATAGGCGACGGTTAACACTTTCCATCAGGTGGGCCTTTAGCTTGTTTGTCATTCAAAATTGTATAAAAAAAAGTCTAAATATAGACCACCACCTTGTAGGGTATTTCCCGCAGTTGCCACACTTGGCAAGCGGGTTGGCAATCCATTCCTCGACCTTTAAGTTCTTTTAGTCACCTCTAACGACTCTACTGAAAAGAGCTGTTATTCAATAATTATTATTGAATTACAGCTCTTTTCAGATTTTGTGTATTAATAAATACACAAAATCAAACGGCAATTATCACCCGTCTAATTGCGGTTATCAACTCGCCTGCCAAGTGTGGCAACAAGTAGCAAAACCCCCCTTATGTGCGAGACCTATGTTCATCAATGACTGATTAGTTAACGACTGACATGATGATGACGACGATAATTTAGTAATCCCTTCTCTATATCCAATCTGAACATGAAATCAGATAATTTTTAGAAGGTAACACTTACTTTGAAAGTTTCCCATAAAAGAGATCCCTATTGAACGATTATTGTATAGCTTTGTATGAGCTCCGACTCGGTTCCATCCAGCGCCTTCGTAAACTTTTCCATTGCCACCAATTAGAAAACTGAAATCATATAGTTATATTTCATTTCAAGATACACGATTACAACAAAAATATCGATACCAAATTGAATATCACAATCATTACAAATTTAAAATGTTATTTATTATTATATAATTAATTCAATAAATTTATATCATTTGAAATAACAAAAATGTCAACATATTAATAAATAAATATTGTCAGCAACTACTCTGCATTCACCAGTGATATCGACTTCCGCATGATAATACCTAGTTTAGTAAAATATTTACTAAGCATTTATATTTTAAGTTTACGTCGGCTAAGCATTTTTATCATTATCATATTCTTCTATCCATGGGATATGGCAGTAAATTTACAGGGTGCAGAAGCATAATACCTTACTACTCAGATATGACAACGTATGGAGGATATCATGGGCAAAACAGTATACTCTATTATATCCATGGTACTGCTCATGTCTATAGGCGATGGTTACCGCATTTCATCAGGTGGGTCGTTAGCTTGTTTGCCATTCTAAGTTGTATAAAAAAAAAAACGTTCTATTTCATTCAAGTCCTCACAAACTTTTGCGTTTATAACAACAGTATGATTTATAAGATTTTTTATTATTTGGTTAACACAATATAGCTACGATGCAGTTTTTTTAATAGGTCAAAATGGAACGTTAGCCACGCTTGCGCTGTCGATATGCACTAACAAGGCAAGTGAGAGATGTTATTTTAAGTTAAAAGCAGATTAGTGAATTTATCAAGGTGAACTAATCTTGACAAGTTCAACAACCACTTAACACGATGATTTCCAAGAACTAGCAATGGGACTGTTAGACCCATTGCTAAGAACACCTGCCCCGGGTACAATGAGGTTTATATACCTGATTTAGACGTAATCCAATCCAAAATAGATACCTTTACTAACTTTTACATTTATAATGTTAAAAGAATTTAGATTTAACTTCTAATCAAAGAATTGTTCGTTCGTGTTCCGTTAAATTAAATGAAAGCTTTCTAGTTAACAAAAGAACCCGCTGCTTGGAAATTAGCTTAAATACCTGGAAATCACGGGCGCCTCAAAGCTGACTATCGTGAAATTTTGTTAGTACAAGTAAAAATTAGCGAGAATTAAGAAAAAAATCTAGCTCTAGAAATTTACTTTTGCTTTTTTGTCAAACAATTCGAAGACGGAAGGAGTACAGTTGTACTTTGTGTTTATGGTACACGATACCATGACAATTTCAAAAAGGTAGAATTTCTCAATTCGATAGTACCTTGAATTTGCATACATATGTATTACATGACATCTTTAGCAATTTTGAATTAGTTGCAATAAGTATTTTTGTAATTGATAAGGTTTACCTACTTCCGAATCAGTTCCATTTTCATTTTGTTGTCCTTTGTTTAAAGGAAAAAATGTTTTTTTTTAATAAGTAAAGATAAAATGGTAATATCGCCTGCGCTATCAATATACATTGGCGGGCCACCAGTGAGGGATGATAGGAGTGAAGATGAAAGCAGATCAGTCGGCCCATGGTAACGAATTCATCAAACCACGATGATTTCCAGGATGAATCGCGCCAAGATCGACCTGTTAAATCCCATTACTAACAACCACTTTCCCCCTTTAACAAAATGTTATGACAATTATTTTGTCCTCGTGTTAGATAATAATTTTTATTTTATTTTTTATTTTTAATACTAAAATCAATCGTTTTCTTTAAAGTACTCCTACTTAAAGATAGGCATTTATCCTAAAAATACGCAAAATATTTTTATAGCGAAAATTTTGGATAAAAGCAGTTATAGATAAATTTAAATATACTTCATTCACTTACGATGGACCTATGTCATCGAATCCCTTTTCGAATCTATGGTAATTCCTGATCCCTTTCGCGATAGTCTGACACCGGTCGTCAGTATTGCATTCCTGGCTCTCTGTATGTTGTATGATCACCAGCTTTACAGGATTCTGGAGAATCTGTTTACGATACGAGGATTCTCCACCCCATTCAGATATTGGAATTACACCACAGGTTTCTGGAAAAAAAATTTGAATTTTGAAGTACCATGATATAATTTAGGTAACTGAGCACTGATCTCTCTCCATAAGAGAAAGGTATTAGCTTCTGACCAAATCATTTAATGTAGATTTTTTTGCGTTCATGTATAGTACTTTATTCCCTAAGTAAATGTAAGAAATATTGAGAAATAAATGAATTGATAATTTGTAAATAAGTTACAGGTTTTTTTTCTGTAACTTACCTCTCTCCTTTTCTATATTAAGTATATATTAATAGATTGACAATTTGTATTAAAACAAATTAATTAATCAATTCAATCCAAATTATTCCTAACAATATTTCATCATGTTGAGCACATTTTATTAGTTATAAAAAGATATTATTACAGAATTTTACAGTAAACAGAAAAAGTATGAGGGAATGAAATGATAAATATCTAATAATTGTCCAAAAATATGAAAAAATACTGAATACGAATGAAACTCTTTAATAACACAACGTACTCTGAATATCACAATTATCGATACTATACAACAACTTACAAATACAGATAAAAAATATTAAAAAAATATTTTATTCGAGTTAGTTTTCTTCATCATCATCATACCAGCTATTAACAGTCCACTGCTGAACATAGACATCCTTCCACTGGGGGGTTTATCCCATAGTTACCACACTAGGGGGGCGGGCCTTTTAGTAATAAATATTTAATGTATGAATATGTAAATACAAAAAGAAAGTAATTTATTTAAAATTTACATGAAAAAAGAAATTTATTTTAAAATGAGAACACTATATTGCATAATATGAATACATACCATGAGCTTCAACAAATATCACAACGGTTACCACAAAAACAATAAAATGTTTCATTTTGTAGAAATGAAAAATTCAGTTTAATGTCAATAGTGTTCGAACAGTATTGTGTTTCAATAATGTAATATGTAAATATAAATCTTCCCTTTATATAATCATATATAGGAAATATATATAATATATATATATTATATAGAATAGAATATAGAGAATAGTAGGTTAAATAGATAATGAAGAATAGGGCTACAGAAATCCCCTCTTATCTTAAAGCTTTATGTCAGATGGGGAAAATATTATTGCTCATCCCGTACTTTTTTATGTCAAACACCGAGTACAAGGGACTTTCCTCTAACCGGTTTTATCAACTAAGGGGAGGGGAAAGGAATTGTTAGTAATAGGGTAAGTAACTTAATTACCAGCTATGTACCTTGTAAATTGGCCTTCCCCTAAAAATCATCCTGACCGATTCACGATAGACCAACTGTACTTATTCCATCCTTATTTATCATTATTTATTGGGATCCCGCAATATACAAATGATGCGTGTAGAACGGCTATTCTAATTTCATTCTATTAAAAATATCTTGCAATATAGAAGAGTTGAAACCAAAAATAAGCATTTTTATTTTTCCAAAGTTTTGTTGGGAGAGAATCATCGTCAGTATCATCATATCTGCCCTCTGCTCAACATAAGCCGGTTGATGCTTGCCAAAAGGGTTGTCAACTGCAGTTAGGATTTAGTGATTTTTAAGAAAGACGCTGCTGCCCATTCGTAGACCTTAAGTTTCCTTAGTTACCCCTTACAACACCCACGGGAAAGGGTCAGACCATTCTATGCCGGGAACACACGGCAAGTGGGAGAAAATGCTAAATACAAATAAAAATGTCTTTATTGTGAATCATAGTCAGGTCAGGTTAAGGTATTAATATCAATTTTTTTTTACAAAACACGGGGCAAATGAGCATGCGGATCACCTGATGGTAAGTGACTACCGCCCATGATCACCCACAACACCAGCGGCATTGCAGGTGTGCTGCCGGCCTTTTAAAAAGGAATATACTCATTTAAATAGTAAATAAATAGTATCTCCATATCCTGGTATATAAGCATACAATATGTTATATAAAATACTTGTATATCAGCTACATGCATTATTCAACAATAAATAAAACACAATATTACAATATTATATAGTAAAATATACTATTAGCATTTAATTTTTTGTATCTTCTATTATTTTTTTAATAATAGATCGTATAATTTACGAAAGCATTTGAACCTATATCGCTCGGCCATACGGGTCGAAAGTGTTTCCAATTATCTGCACACGGAAGGGAGAGGTCTCGTTTTTGACATTATAATAAAACTTTGGTCCATAAAAAATAGACCCTTTGATCGTCAAAAATATTTAATATGGGACTGACATAAAAATAACTCTTATAGACAAAAAAAAAGTTGAATGCTTCGTTTAACATAACCACAAAGAGTAATTTAGACGACATGCGAACCTCCTTTGAAAAATCGCTTATAATTATTCTTGCCAGAAGGAGCGTTTGTACAAAAGTCGTTTGCTTGGGCACCTCTGTCCCATTCGTGTTTCTACCGTGAAGCAGTTTTGTTTGCATGGCTGTATTTCGGATTGAAGTATAAGATATGGCAGTGAATTTAAAGGGTACAGAGGAAAAACACCTAAGTGTTTAGGAATGACTACGCATAGGGGCTATAATGAGCGAAAGAGTATACTCTGTTATGTCCATGGTACTGCTCATGTCTATAGGCGACGGTTACCACTTTCCATCAAGTGAGTCGTTAGATTATTTGTCATTCTAAATTGCATAAAAATAATTATTTATCTTACGCGCTTATCAACAAGACATAATTCACATTAGGTTATCGACACTACCTCCACGTGACCCGGCGGCACGAACCGTATCCGGTTAACAAATTGGCGTATATTACTAGCTGTTTTATTTAATTAGAATAACTATTTCAATATAATGTTCCCCCATTTTACCCTTTCGGTCTATGCAGATGTCGGGTTTTTTATTTAAAATTTCCCTTTGTGTAAGTTGTACGCGAACAACTATACAAAGAAGACACACTACTGGTGCGTTTTCTCCGCAGATCGCCCATCATCTGCACAGTCTTTAAAAACGTTCATAATTAAGTGTGACAATGTCGTAATTATCTGCCAATATTAAAAAAAAAAAAATATTTTCAACATTTCTAACTGATTATTTAAAAAGACCTCTGCTTACAAACTAAAACGTTAATCATGCAATAATAATATTAATCATGATTAACGTTTTATACTTCTTTCCACTTTTGGTTTGAACTGGAAAAGAACTCTTTTAGAGTTAAGCACGCCTTTGTACATTTGACTACCTCTGTCATATTTTTATGTATAATTAGTGTGTACAATAACGTATTAAATAAACAAAATAAAATATGCTTATTGAGCTATCACTGAAATTTTTAATTTTAATGGCACAAAATTTGTTTGTAAAATTTTTAAGCAAAATACGAAATAGGTACAAAGAATTTACAGACGGAATTCATCTTCACACGCTTGAACATAGATAGTCGCATACAGTACGGTTACAAAGGAATTATCACCCGCGAACGCTCAAGCTGTGGAATGCCGAGGCTTTCCCAAGAGAATACAGTATGGGGTTCTTCAAAAAGGTATATTAAGTTTTCTTCAAGGTCTGCAACGCGTACGTGACACCCCTAATGTTGCAGGCGTCTATAGGCTACAGTGATCATTTACATCGGGCTATTATGCTAGTTGCCACCTTTGTGGTATAAAAAAAAATTACAATAGATTTGTTATGTATTGATGCATTATACGATTAATGTTTTTACTTCACTAATAAAACACTTTTTAAATAATGGAAAGGAAACAATGAAATGTTATATTTATTTTTCAATATTGACAGATAATTTTGACGTAACCATACTTCGATAAAAAAGAGTACACCTATGTCCTGAACCCATGCCATAGTAAAAGTTTGCGGGACGTGTCTTGCTGGGCTTGTATTTACCTGCGTGGGTGGTAGATAAGTACTTGCTGAAGTGAAACTCCCTTTACAGTGTTTAATAATTATTCTAATTGTTGTTTTTATATTAATTATAGAAAATTTAACAGGTTGAACGGCAGCGGTATGCCAGAAGAGACAAAACGGAGTAGCCATACGTTAGACGTATTAAAAATAAATACGAGTATAATTTTGCCAACAAAATGAACTATATGTATTGAGAACTATGTCCATAACAATAATTATCATCATATCAGCTATTGTCCACTGAATACAGGCCTCCTTCTTAGATAAATAGATAATTTATTTGCAAGTAACATTAGATATTGGTGCATATTCGTACTTAAAAAAAAAGAGATAAAAGTATACATATACAAAAAAAAAACAAAAGAAAAGTATATAAAAGAGGTAACATAATTTTTCAAGAGAAAAATTATATTACACAAAATGTCACAACCCGGTTTATTGCCCCCAGAAGAGCAAAATACTGATATTTTGTTGTGACCAAAAGCCAATTAGGGGATTTTGCCAGTAGGCAAACATTTGGCAGACAGGCTTTGATGATGTTTTCAGATGTCTTTTTCAAAGAGAGTTGCCCATTCTATGCCGGGACCACACGGCTTATTATCTATAATAATAAATAATGATTTTTTTAATTAACTAAGTATCGCTCGTGTTCACCAGCGACTTTGTTTGACCAGAATATATTAATTGATTTGATTAGGTACAAATATCATCTGTCATTCTCCATCCCAAATATAACAAATTTGATGACTACCGGTTAAGCCATTATAACACCAAGAGGAACAAACAAACTTACTTTCACGTTCATATTTTTTTAATTAATTATTTATACTTTATTGTATACACAGATAGTACATAAAAACATGACACAGGTAAGTAAATGTACAAAGACGAACTTAACTCTAAAAGAGTTCTCTTCCAGCAAACCCAAAGTGGAAAGGAGCGTCAATGTCAGCGGGTAAAACGGTGTACAATAATATTAGTAATTTATTTTATAATAATATTATTTTTAAATAATAATATTAATAATAGATTCTACAAATATACCACATGACCCGGTAACGTAAACGGTGTCCGGGTAACAGATGGACGCGTGTTACCGGACATTTAATTAGAATAACTATTAAAATGGTGTACAATGTTGCGTATTTGAATATTATTTTCGTCCATTTTACCCTTACTGAAACTTTACTGGCATTATAATTTTATTGTTACGACCCTTATAGTTTTTGTGTGACCTTGGTCCAAAATGTCAAAGATCTTATATTTTTATGACCTTCGTGAGAATTGGTGTGGCATTTAAAGAGCCAAAAAATAAAAAAAATAAAAACTGAGCAAGTACGAGTATAAATTCGCGTGGAGATTCTGTACGTTGATTTATATTTACATCCCATAACATTTTTACAATGTTTCGCTAAATATGTAAATACCATAGACTTTTTATAAAATCTATTTTTGCATTTATTTTAAAATTTTAGGTCCAATAGGTTCTGAATTTTCACTTTATTATATATATATATATATATTTGTTGCATGATTCCTCCAAAAGTACACGTTCTTCTGTGGGACACCGTTTCAAAGCAAATTAGATGTAACAAACGGACGATCAAACAGACACGTGAACATTTCTATAAGGGATCCATTTTTTCTTTTTATGATACGAATCCCTGACAAACAATTTTTTATGTAACTTAGAATGAGAAACAAACTGACGATATATCTGATGGAAAATGGCAACTTCTAATATAAATTTTTCTTACTAAGAATAATAGATACCAAAACAATAATTGTTAGAAGTTTTGTCTATCTATCTATTTGTATGTTTGTTCCGCTATCACACAAAAACTACTGTACTAATTGATGCAGTTTACGCAGTTTATATTCTTGAAGGTGTAACTCAAAATCTGATGTGCTTGTAAGAGTTGTTATTGTAAAACACGGATATTTTCTAGTGACTGCCCTAAAAAAGGTCATTTACCTCAGGCATGAACTAGCTGACGTTGTAGTTTTTCGAGACCTTCATATAAATGGTTGTAATACATAAAACAAAATACCATTTGTCTGAATTAGCTTTTTACAAGATAAACGGTCATTT